AACTAAAGTTTTTTTAGCAAAACCAATCTGCATAAATATATAAAAATCAATCGTTGTTCGTTAGTCTCGGTAAAACTCGAGAACGGCTGAACGCATTTATCTTATCTAGGTATTGAAATGTTAGAGGTAGGTCTAGAGAAGGTTTAAACATTGAAAAAAATTGGGACACTTTTCTTTTTCCCATATAAATGGCTGAATGGATCTCGCTGAAACTTGGCATAGATGTAGAACATAGTCTGAAAGAACACATATGATAAATATATTTTTTTTAATTACGCACGGACAGAGTCGCGGGCAACAGCTAGTTATTTATTAAAATGGCACAGACTTTTAAGCTTTTTTTTTAATTATATTTTAATTGAGTTAAATAGATAAAAGATAGCCAACAATCTCACCCAATGAATGGAACGCTTAAAACTCAATAGAAACTATTGTCAGTACTCGAAGTGGTCGGTGAATGGTAACTGAGCTATAATAGAACTCGGGAGTTAAAAACTGACCCCCAACAAACGTCCGACGTTGAAAAGAAACTCCGGTTCGATGCTTGAAACGCTTATTATTAGGAACGGAGCTCGGTTAAAAGTTTTTACTATTACAACGAATAAATGACGAATCTCGTGAAAAAATATTTGTTAAGTTTACAAAGTGACCCCGTTTTTGAACTGTAAGTTATTTGAGTAACGTTTACGGTTAAAAAAATTAGTTAAAAATGCCGCTTTTGAAATTATTTTTACTATTTTTTTTTTCGCTCGCGTAATTATTTTGATGAGTAATAATTACCTTTTTTAAACAACAGAAAAATGTATTATGCTCCCTTCGCTTCGACAAACGAAATATCTTACTTACCTTTCTAATATTATAAATGCGAAAGTTTAATGAATAGTTGAATATTTTATTATTACGTATCTCCAGAACGGCTCAACGATGCTTCATGAAATTTGACATACATCTAGAACAAAATCTAGAAGTATACATAAAGTACTAAACAATTTTTTTTAATTTCATGAAGGCGGGGAAGCGTGCGACAGCTAGTGTTAAATAAGAAAATTTGTTCTTAACTTTATCGCTTTGTTTTATTTACAGTCAAAGAATTAAATTCGGTTACCACATTGGATTGAACATCGTATAGCAAATTATCGCTATAATTATTTAATATTTATTTAAATTGGTTGCAACGACTTTTCGACCTATATATTATACAATTTGATCACCAAATAAAATTTCACAATTAGTAACAATGATAGAAAACAAATTACCTCTAGTTTATTTATTCTTAAGTAAACATTCAAATGATCGTAAAAATCAATAAAGGAAGTAACAATTACTTTAAGTTACTTAACATTGACCCAACGACAAAGTAACTATTGGCTTTGTTCATTACATTTATAAGGAAATGTCCAAGTGTCGCGCCGGCAGTAAGTGGCCTGTTTGTCAGTGGTGACAAGTAGACGGACGTCTATCGATCTTCCCTTTGTCTCTCAAACAATATAATAGTTGAGTAATTATACTATGAATACAATACTGCTACTATCTAACTTCTAAGTAAACTTACTAATATTATAAACTAGCTGTCGCCAGCTAAAAAATAAAAAGTAGCCTATGTGTTCTTCCAGACTTTGTTCTACATGTGTGCCAAATTTCATTAAAATCTGTTTAGCCGTTTCGGAAATACCTTTAAACACACATCCATCAATTCATCCATCTAAAGATACGCATTTATAATATTAGTAAGATAAGATTATTAGTAAGATGCGAAAGTTTGGATGCATGGATGTATGGGTAGTCAGCTGTTTGTTAGAAGGTATCTCCATAACAGTTCAACGGATCTCGATGAATCTTGGCAAAGATGTAAAACATAGTCTGGACGAACGCATAGATAGGATAAGAGTTTTTTTTATTCCGGCAGACGTAGTTGCAGGTCACAGCTAGTATAATAAAACAATATAAACTAGACTAGGAATCAGAAGAACTTTGTACAAAATAAAATAATTTATGACATATACGCAAATAATCTTATCCCATAATTTTATTTAAGCAATGTAATTTTTTTTTAATCTTGATGATTATTTGTTTATTTGAAAATAATAATAGAAAAATAATATATTATAAATAAAAATATTAATCAAGTACTCAAAAATAACATACAACATGATTAAAGTTTGCATTTCAAACATACGATTATTTTTAAAGGTAGGCAACGTAATTGCGTATGTCTATGGGCAACAGTCACTTCGCTATTTCAGCGATTTCAGGTGGCCGCTCGCTCGTTTGCCACCTTATGATATAAAAACAAAAATTACGCAGGAACCTCTTCTTTCGTTATATGGGAAATAAAAATATTACTTACCTCTTAACTACAAGTTTCATCAGTTCTCTGGAGAAATAAGCTACGTATAAAATCCTTTATACGTAGCAGTTGCAGTGCCATATTTCCCCTAAGTACACTTTAGATCTTACAATCATCAAGATATTTTAGCTAAGTATTTAATAACACAAACTTAACTGTTTATTCATATATTACTATATTCATTCACTCATTATTTCCTAGGTATTTCTTACACAAGACAACGTAAATATTATTAATTACTATTCCTTGTGTCGAGAGTATCGCGTGGCGCGTGCTACGTACATAACATTGAATCGTCGACGCGAGTCGTCAGTACAGGCATAGCGACTGCATGTCAACTGTATCCTCCGCCATCTTGAAAATTATGGCGACTTTTTCGCTTGTAACTAGCTTTGGCAACGTAAAAACAAAATGTCAACGCGTATCTGTGCACGAATCTCTATGAGATTGTATTGAATAAGTCGCTTAACGACTAAATTCGTCGGGAGTTGAAGATTTTTATGGCCTGTGTACAAACGGACTTACCGTTGTCCTAGTGTCGTGATCCACCAACTGACTACTAGCCGTCGACAGACGGACGGACAACAAAGTGATCCTATCAGGGTTTGTTCTTTTCGAAGTACGGAACCCTAAAAACAAGTAAACACTATTTCACTGTATCTTTGTACCAACCAAATGCGTTTTGGAGTCAAGTGATAACAAAAATCCATCCACAGCATTTGTAATTTTAATAGCTTTATTTAATACTTTAATCTAAATCCATTTACTGGGAAAAGTTATTATTCTTTGAGTGAGTCAAATTAGCATGAATATGAAAATTAAGTGCGAACTTAGATTATTAGAATTTGGAGCAGCTTGCAGAATACGAATGTAGTTTTAAGAAATTTGCCTAAGCAAGTGGTCCAAGTTCAACTAGGTCACAACCTAAAACACGGGAGACGGTTACGAAACTTGTTTGAAGTTTCTTTTTAAAGTAGCTACGCTACTGAATAAAATATTACACAATCTCCATCTTATCTTTCATGAAAAGTAGTTTAAAATCTTTAAGTACTAAATGCATATTCATGCTGGTCAGTTATGAGTAATCTTCACAAATTTTATTTCTAAATATACACATATGAAGAGGTCATTGTCTTGTCCAATTAAATCTAGTACAGTCGAACCTATTAAAAGCGAGAGTCCAAGGGACCACGACATTTTTCTCGCTTTCAAAGGTTTCACTCAAACCATATTTTCTCGCGCGAGGTGGTCCGTCGGGACATTGACTTTCGCTTATAGAAATTTCTTGCTTACCCAAGTTTGGTGTATTATAGAAATTAATCAATTCTATTATTTGTTTAAATTTTAATGCATTAAGAGAAAATTATAAAATTAACTCCTGTAGAAATTAATTAAATATTAATATATTATAAAATTAATTATATTATCCAGTCAAAGCTGTGGCGACATTCTTGTTAATTTGCATTATTATACAACACTACTACAACATAATTGATAATTAATTAATGTGTACATTTAAATCCTCACTAAGGGAGACAGCTAAAAGATTCTCTTATATAATGAGTCTCTTGTTACTGAGTCAATACTCTAGATCACGTCTCTACATCACTCACAAATGATGGGCTGTCATCATTCAAGACACTTTTGACATCTGATTTACACAGTTGAGGCAATATTTCCCTTGAGTAGAACATCTGTAACTGACTCCGAAATCAGTTGCCGTCCCATTATTCCCGGGGATCAGTTGCAAAGTTTACATTCCAGTATACTTTGTGCTTGTTACGAGTTATAACTTTTGATTTGTTGAAGAAGATTATCCTTTTAACCGTGGATTTCCACTGCTACGAGCACTGTATAAAGTACACAAACATATTGTTATCTCTTTTCACTTAAAAAAAAACAATTGAAAAATATAATCTTACTATTTTCAATCTTTTTTTCTTTTTCATTCTTACTAATATTATAAATGTTAATTTTTGGATAGATAGATGGACATTTGTTACTATCTTGTATCTCTATAACGGCTTCATGGATCTGAATGAAATTTGGTATAAATGTAGAACATAATTTGGAATAGCATATAGGCTATCTATATGTTCCTCTAGAATAAGTTTGTTTGTTGTTACAGGTATAAAGCATAGTCTAAAGTAACAAAAAGTATAATAACTCTTGTTTAATTCTGCGCAGACAAAGTATCAAAAAAATTTAATTTCTTTGAAATATTAAACATCAAATTACTAAGTCAAACGCTGCACAAATTGCTTCTTGAACGATACAAACAGTAATAACAGTAAAATAAAAACTAATTACAAAGTTGAACTAACTGCTTGGGATTTGTATAATTTTTCGCAGGAAACTGCGAGGTTGCGTTAATAGGAATACGGTTATTATAAAAGTTGAAAACATTTACATTAACAATAATGAGGGTCCGGGCGGGCTAGAGGATAATTATGCGACCAACTTTAACTTTATAGGTGCCCTGAACTGAAAGCTGAGTCTGTGAATTTGTTTTTAAATACTGTTTATTATGATTTATCAACGATTTTCATATGGAGATATAAAACTACACATGCCTTCGGAGACAAAGGCAAGGATATGAAGGTTATATATTTATAAAGTCACACATAACTAGTAATATATTTTATTGTTGCAGATGAGATGGCGAGTCGCGGGTGGCGTGGGCGCGCCGCTCGCCGCTGCCATCTTCTTCATGCTGCCTCTCATCACATCGTCCACTGGAGATATCAGTACGTTCCACTTACTTATTCCCATATTGTATTTCAAAGAATAAATTTTATATACCCTTGACTAATATAGTTTGAACAGCAAATATGAGAAGGTGTTTTGTAAAATAATTTATGTTTGATTTTTTTTATATTTTCAACACAACGATTTATTAAGAATACGTGAATATTAATGTGGTAACTATAATTTAAATATTTTATTGATTTTTTTGTGGGTTCACAAAAGAAAACATACTTATGCCAAGTATAACTTCATCTTACAACTTAATTATTCATAGTAATTTACAGCTTAGTAGGTTTTTAAAAGGCGTACTCTATTCTTGTTTATTATTCAGAACCCAACGCTGCGTCCGATGCCTCTTTAATCGTGGCTTAATCTGATTTAATTAATCTGTTACCTAACACGTGTTACGGCTTCTAACAAGGTATATTAGGTAGAGAGATTCAATGTTAAAATGTAAACGCTATTAGACAAACAATCTGAGAAGCCACATAAAGATACTTAAGAAAATAAATTAATATACCTTAATTTAATTCTCAGTTAATTTGTCTAAAATTAATTATTACTCAAAGCTTTATTTAAGATAGCATTTTTTTTGAGTTATATGAAATCAAATTATCGTAATTTTAAAGTAATATTTTAAGGAATCAATTTTCTATGATTAATCTTTCTATTTTAATTCTTTCATACAGAGTAGATCCGTTAGTACGATCGCTTGCCTTTTATGCACATTTGACTAAATCTAGGGCACCCGAGCGACCATCGCACGATCGTACGACCTAGATATGCTTCCTTGCCTTTGAAATCTATCCACATTTCCGGATGGTCAAGCCAGCAAAGTTAAAGAGATTGATATATCGTAATGTTTGCATGTCAAAAAATATTTTTCTACCAAGATATCGTTAAAAAGTAACATAACTTCTATGAGAATTCAAAATTAATAACAAGATGTCACAAATTGGACACTTATTTCTATTGCTTCAAATTGACTACTTATCAGTAGAAGAAACTGAACTGATTTTTTGTATTTTAGTAAAATATGTAAAGCATATATTTGTCACTTGAAGAGAAAAAAAAGTTCGACAAATACAAACCCCATTTCTAAGTAATATACGCAATGCGGCCCCGTACGCAACTTCAACTTAACCGGTATGAATCCGTAATGACTTAAACTTTTCGTAACAAAAAGAGGCAATTCTCATTTATGACGTCAGAGAAAAAACGAAGCAGCGACTTTGAAGTGTTGAAACGAGTTTTTCAAAAGTCCCAAACAACTTGGAAACTTTTAAAAGCTTTATCTAATAATGTAATGTGTTACTGATAAGTCATATATCGCTTCATAAAACCTGTCTTCTGCAAATAAGTTGAGTCGCTTTTACTTTATCAAAAAGATATATAGAGGAAGAAAAAGCTCGAGCGATACCTTCGGAAAATTTCGAAAAGAATGAAAAATAAAATAATATTAAAGAAACAATTAACAAACACAAAAAAGAATATTTATGTACCATTTCAGAAGAACAAAAAAGGAGAAAAACATAAAATGTTCTGAATTTAAAAATATAAAATTATGAGTAAGAAATGTCTGTAAAGAGGTCCGTTTGTATCGTCAACAAGATATTTAACCTTTTTAAATTGTCAGGAGACGTTTCCATAAAATTTCATCTCATCAATTAATTAAATCACTTAAATAAACACAAATCTAATAAAAGAATATACCTGGGAAAAATCACACAACACAAGTTAAATATAAATATAAAACAAAATCTCGTAACCTAAGCAAATAGGATATAGTTATAAAACTAGAAAAAAGTACAATGTTTGCTTCACAGGTCGTAAACGTACAACAATGTCCACGCAACAGAACCCTAATTTAAACCATTACGTACATGTTATAATACGCCAAACAGTATTTATATAAGCTTTATTACTGTGAAATAAAAACACAAAACACGATTTACAATCATGGGGTGTAGCTATGCCCCCGTCAATGCGAGCACGGCCTTTGTTAATTAATTTTTACCATATAAATATTATGTGGTCATACCAGTCATTGGGTACGTTTGGAATTAATCTTTTTAAAAATTCAACTTAGTCCCACCAAGAAGCAAGCGTACTTATTTCTCGAAGGCCAGCAACCTTTCTGCAGTTCATTTGTTATCTTAGATGTCTATAGGAGTCGATGATCACTTCGTTTGTTAACACCAAAATAGATTCAATAGCTTGTATAGACGAAAATATATTTGAAATTTATGTCTCAATTTATCAAAACATTACATCAAACAAATGTTTAATCAATGGAAAATATTTCTTAGCTTGTGAGGGTCTTTAAACTGTGTAATCATAAAGTAACTTAGTAACGCCCTTTGAACGTTATACAAGAAAGGATGATATTAAATTAATAACTACACTAAAATAACCTTGACACTAATACGATAATCCAAACAAGCTCTGACGATGAGGTTTAACTTATTCGTGCTGCCATGGAGATTTGTTTTGCTATCATGAGTTCCCATTGCCGAAACATTTGAAAAACTACAAACTATTGGACTGATTATAAATATTCTTTTGCTATTAGAAAGCCATATTAACACTTACTAACATCTTACTGATATTATAAACTAGCTGTCGCCCGCGACTCCGTCCGCGTGGATAAATTAAAAACCTTAATGAGTGTAGCCCAGCCATCCATCCATCCACATCACATCCATCTAAACATTCGCATTTATAATATTAGTAAGTTAAATAAAAAACAGCTCTTCAAGGCATAAAAAAATGAATAAATAGTATCTTATTGCCGTCTCCTGGCTCTCAGCTACCTCCTCGCGAATTTTCAGCCATATCGGTAAAGCCGTTCTTGAGTTATAAATAGTGTAACTAACTTTCTTTTGTATATATAGATGCAAAGATTTGGAAAGATAAACGAATGCATTGATGTTTTTAGAAAGTCTCTCCAAAACGGCTGCATGGATCTCGCTGAAATTTGACAGAGATGTAGAATATGGTCTGGAAGACCACATAAGCTACTAATTAAGTTATCTCGGGCATGAGCTAATGTATGAATGATTAAGTAGCCTATATAGTTTTCTCCATCCATACTAAACAAACATTCAAATTACTTTTTTACAAAGAAAAAAAATATGCCTACAATTTATTTAATACGCCTAAAATACGTTTGGATATTTCTTTTGGCAGATTTTTGCGTGCGCATCAGCGTTTTTATTAGATTTGTTTTTTTTAATATTCGAATTTCGAATACTTTGTCGGGAATGAATGTGAAATATTACACAAACAAATAGAGGGTACAATTTTAATTTAACGCTCATACGAACCCGCTAAATCTCAGTCGGATACGGTGATTTTTTTTCATACCACGTGACACAAAGGGAAACAATCGTAATGAATTAGTCAAACAAAGTGTGATCTTCTTTTGTTTTACATTCAATTTGATTAGTATTAACTTTTGTTTTTCCTGAACTTATAGAGTCAATAAAGAAAGAGTAAGTTCCTATGTAGATTAAAATCGAACAAATCAATTACATATATTCTTAGGGATCAGAAGCAGGGAAAATTAAAAAATAAATAATTTCTTATACACTACTACAATACTTTTCTGATTTAATAACAAAACCAACAAAATTGTTTAAATTACATTATAATTTAACAGTGGTAGAGCCGGCTTTAACATACTCGCACGAATTGGCGCGGTTCGCCCGGTGAAATACCACGACCACATAGAAGTACTACGTACTAGAATATAGTACTAGTACTTATCACCACTAACTGCGGAGCATGCACGGTCGTATTAGAACTTGAGGCAGAACTCTCAATTTGTGTGCAGTTGTATATTTAAGCAATTGTAAAAGCTTACGAGTGGCGCGATTATTTTACAAAAAAAAAATAACATCGTATCAAATAAAAGGCATCGTTTAAAAACGTTGTTCGCTTTAAATAATGTAGCAGTTTAAATAATTAATAACCTGCCAAACGAAAAACACAGTCTGTCCGTTACTATACAGCAATTTGTTTGTTCAATCGAAAATCCTGGATTAAAACTGAACTACGGCCCCTGCTTTTATTACGAAACAATTCAACCTTTGATTAAACTTTTTTTTTCGAGTTTTATGGCTGTTAGCAAGTCTGTTGAAAATTATTATATTTCGACTTTTTCAATACTTTTATATGCGTAGTTTTTGTTTCTTTAACCTATATTGAAACTACACTACAAATTTACACTAAACATTTTAAAATATTAGAATACTAACTGTCGCCCGCGACTTCTTCCCCCCAGAATTAAAGAAAACTTAATAGCCTATGTGTTCTTCCAGACTATGTTCTGCAGCTATGCCAAATTTTATAGAGATTCACGCAGCCGTTCCTGACATACTTTTTAACAAACAACAACCATCCAAACATTCGCATTTATAATATTACTATGATATTAGTAAGAAGTATAATAAGATTATAATATTAGTAAGATTAGTATCGGAAGTTATTTAAAAACGAAGTACCTATTGGTTCATTTTTTACTCGTAAACATCGTCAATCTAGTTTACATAAAATAGGGTAAACAGGGATAATGGATATTGGTTTCAATATTTCATGTAAGCCTAAAGTGCCAAATGTGACAAGGGGTTAACTTATGACACCGTACGCCGAAACTAAAGGTTAGCGTGGGATGTTTTTGTTCCTATAAATTCTAGAAAAGGTACGCCGTTACAACTTCTTAGGGAGTTTATAGAAATCATTCCGTTATTTTCGTATTTTTATGAAACATAAAATAAAAAGGTAGGCAATATTGATTTATATTCTAATTTTGAATTTTTACGAACAAATAATAAAAAAAATTTTAGTAACATATTTTAGTTAATTATTCGTTTTTAATATTTTATTTAATATCATAGATTTAAGACTCTTTTGTCAATAGCATTGTTATAAGTGTTTCTACGAAGAAATTCAAAAGATATATGTGTAGTCAACCTATCCGCATTAGGTCTGCGTGGTT